TCCTCCCACTGCATTGGCTCAGTGCCCTCTTGCCAGGCTTTGGCCAAAAGGCCCTCGGTCATAAAAGCAGCCCTCCGTGGGCAACTCGAAGTGGCCTTAGAGCTCCGTGGCCTGAAACCAGCTGAATGACTTTGGCTGGTCTCTGAGGGCAAGTCTTCAATTTCCTGGGTCCTCGGCTGACAGGGATCTGCCCCAGGCTGCTCAGCCCAGGCTGGGGACTTAGAGTCACGGGGTATGAAAGTGGCTACCTCTCTGCACTTTTCTTTTCTTTCTTTCTTTTCTTATTTTATTTTATTTCTTGCTATTGGGTGGGTGTGCTCCCCAGAGAGTCTCAGAGAGGGAAAATGAGAAGTCACCCCCCAGGGAAGATGGCCACACCTCAACCCCTTCTGCATTCTCTTCTCAGGATTTGGGACATGTGTATGCACATGTACCCAGCATGATTTTCTTTCCTTTTTTTTTTTTTTTTTTTTAATTGCTATAGGGTGTGTGCACTTACCAGAGAGACAGAGAAACAGAAAGCAAGAACTCTACCCCCAGGGGGGATGGCCACGTCTTCATTTTCCTCTCAGGATTTTAGGCATGCATGCACATGCACCCAGCAGGAGTTTTAAGCTGCTGGGTCCAAGACGCAAACCATGGTTGACCATGTCCCACACCCAGCATGATTTTTTCTTTTCTTTTTTTCTTTAAGAATTATTTCATTAACATATCTATCTATCTATCTATTTTAATTTGACCAGAGAGGGACAGAGTGAGAGAGAGAGGGAGGGAAAATGAGAAAGCAAGCTGTCAGGTCTGGGACTCAAACCACAGCCGGCCATGTGGGAGTCCAGAGCCCTTAACCACCACACCACCTGCCAGCCTCTTTCTTTTCCTTTCTTTTCTTTTTCTTTTTGAGAGATTTTTACTGTAGGGTGCATGGGCTCACCAGAGACAGAGAGAAAGTGAGAAATCTCCCCACAAGGGAGATGGCCATGCTGCAGTCCCCTGTTCTCCATTCTCCTCTCAGGACTCTGGGCACGCACACACCCAGCATGAGTTTCAAGCTGTCGGGGCTGGGACTCAAACCACGGCTGGTCACGTGGGAATCCAGTGCCTTAACTACCACACCACCTGCTGGCCTTGCACCCGGCATGATTTTCAAGCCACCAGGCCTGGAACTCAAACTGTACAGCCGGCCGTGTGGGATCCAGTGCCCTAACACCACCTGCCAGCCCCATCTGCCCCTCTCTGCTCTCTCTAGAACCAGCCACTGAGTCAACAGCCCAAGCTGACCTCATGCCAGGCCTTACTGACAGGCCAGGACAGAGTAGACCCAGTGTTTTCCTGTGCTTTGGAGGTCTGCCCTTGGAGGCCAGCAGATGGCTGGGCTCCCACATGGCTGACTGTGGTTTAGCTCCCAGGCCCAGTGATTTGAAACTGACGCCAGGTGTGTGTGCGTGTATGCCCAAGATCCCAAGAGGAGACTGGAGGAGAAGGGACTGCAGTGTGAGCATCCCCCCCAGGGGGATGAGGAGTGATTTCTTGCTTTCTGTCTCTCTGTCTCTGTCTTTCTGACGAGTGCACACACCCTATAGCAAAAATTCTCTCTAAAAAAAAAAAAAAAAAGAGAGAGAGAGAGGTGGGCCCCAAATCTCTCCTTTGGCTGTGCTCGGGAGGTCCCCGACCACCACATACATCTGACTCTCCCTGCGGCTAACCACCTCCTCTTTCCCCCCAGGTGAGCCTGGCCTCCCTTGACTCAGAGGTCCCGCTAACCTTGGGCTTGAACCTCTCACTCCTGGACCCCACCAAGCACATCCTGGAGCTGCGGCCAGCGCTGGAGGGCCTGGGAGGCCGGGTGCGCTACGTCATCGCCCACGGCAACGAGCAAGGTTTCTTCCGCATGCGTCAGCTCCGCGGCCTCAGCTCCCTGCAGCTGGGGCTGCGGCGGCCGCAACCCGGGGCCTAACCGCCGGAGGGGGGGAGAGCTGGGTGTGCGCCGGCCGCAACCTGGGACCTACCAGCTGGAGGTGGTGAGCTCGGCAGGGCCCCGGGGTGCCCGGCAAGGTTGGCTCCGGGCGTTATGGCTGAAAGTGCATCTGCAGTTGTTCTAGTGGCAAGGAGCCCCGAGCCTCGATGGGGCCCAGAGCTCCCATGCCATCCAGAGGTGGAAGGTTCTGGAACTGGGAAGAACCGATGCCCCATAGTCATGGCTGACCAAGTCAAACCCCGAAACTCAGGAAGACTGAAATGCTACGCCAACCTCGGGCGAGCTTGGCCAGGGCCTGGGCCTCCGTGCCAGCCCAGGGGACCCTACCAGTCTTTTCCGGAAGCAGCTAAAAGCTGCAGTGTGGCCCCGCCGCCCCGCAGACGGGGCCACTGCGTCTGGTCTCAGGCTTAATCTGTACTGCACTGCAGCTCCCTGGAGGTGGGGGGTCTGGGGCTCCTCCCGCAGATCCGCCAGGGCCTCTGGGCTTCCGCGAACACAGCCGCATTCATCCCCAGGGACTGGGTTGGTGTTCCCACGATGCTCTATCAGGAGCAGACAATAAAGGTATTTTGGATTAAGTCTCCCCTCCCCCTTGGCAAGTTCTCAAAGTAGAAGCCGCCTTTGGCAGGACCAGGCAGGACACTTGCAGGGGGTCAGAGGCATGGCGGTAGCCCCAGTAATGAGGCCGCGCGCTCCTTGCTGTTCCCGTAATCCATACACCAGCGCTGCTCTAAGTTTGTTTCATTTGGTTTGGTTTGAATAGAGTACCTGTACTCACTGGGGTGGAGAGAGAGGGGGAAAGTGAAAAAACAACCCCTGGGAGGATGGCCACACCACAACCCCCTCTCCATTCTCCTTCTGGGATTTTGATCATGCGTGCACATGGACCCAGCAGGATTTTCTTTTCTTTTCTTTTCTTTTTTTTAATTTTCTTTTTTTATAATTCTTTTATTTATTTATTTACTTATTTTCATTTGACCAGAGAGGGACAGAGAGAGCGAAAGTGAAAAAGCAAGCCGCCTGGTGGAGCCTGAGGGTCACCCGGTTTCCTCCGAGCCTGCACCTTGGCCCCTGGCCCCAAGCCAACTAGGAGTCCTCTAACACAGCACCTTTGGCTTTCATCCGGAACGTTCTCTGTTGTGCTGATGTCCAAGGGCAGAGGACAACATAGTCCCGTCTCCCCGAGGCACTCACACCTCCGTTGTCCTTGGGCCTGGCCCCAGGGCTCTGCTCATAGCTCACATGATTTCCCGGTGGCCTCCGGGCAGCCCCGTAGACCACACAGAGACCTCTGCGTCCGTTAGAGCTAGACTTATGCCACCCTGGGACCTAGGCAGAGCAGGCGCCCCTCGGCAGGTCACCAACTGGCCAAGGGGCTGTCTGTTAGGAAGGGGTGGGGAAGGACCACAGGTGGCGGGATGACTGTATTGCTGGACTCTCATGTTGTCGACTGTGATTCGAGTCCCGGACACGGCAACTTGAAACTCACGCTGGGTGCGTGTGCACACGTGCCCAAGATCCCAAGAGGAGAATGGAGGAGAAGGGATTGCAGTGTGGCCATCCCCCCTGGGGTGATTTCTCGCTTTCTCTCTCTGTCTCTCTCTGTCTCTCTCTGTCTCTCCTCAATCTCCTCAAGCGCATGCGCCCTATAGCAAAAATCTCCAAAAAAAAGGAAAGAAAATGGAAGGGGTGGAGGATTATGTGGGGTTCACCCCAGACTGGGGCAGCCTCGCAATGAAACATGACAGGCAGTAATGATGCCCCTAGTACACACACACATACAGACTCATACTCCAACTCTTTATTCAAAAGTATAAAAGTTTACACCCTGGGAGGGGTATCCTCGGACCAACCCTAGCCTCGCAAGGACCCAGAGAGCTGCAGTCCGGGCTGGCTGTCAGAAGTCGGAGCCAAGGTGTTGTATCTTGAGGCATCTTCTCTGTAAGAGCCCCCGCCCAGGGCTGACCAGTCCCCTGGAGCAGCAAAAGGCTTGTCAGTAAGGTTACTCTCTCTGCTAAAGAGGCGGTGGTGGTGGGTGTGGACAGGACCGACCAGTGGAGCACCGGGATTCAGGTGTGGCCTGAGGACGGGTCTGCTGTAGGGTCCAGCTTCTCTTGTTCCGACAGCTGCTGGGATGAGTGAGCTCACAGTCCTGTACGCGGGGTTAGAGAGGTCTGTGGGTGCTGGGGCCTGGGGTGGACTGGGAGCGATGCAGTTGTAAGAAACGTGGGACCAGCAGATGGCATAATGGCTATGTCGCTGGACTCCCACGTAGTCGACCACGTTTCAAGCCCTGGACCCGGCAACTTAAAACTTATGCCGGGCGCATGTGCGTGCGTGCCTAAGATCCCAAGAGGAGAATGGAGGAGAAGGGATTGCGGTGTGGGGTGACTTCTCGCTTTCTCTCTCTGTCTCTCCAGAGACCCCATGTACCCTATAGCAAAAACCTCTCTTAAAAAATTTGTCTCTACTAAGCAGCTGGATCCCACGTGGCTACCTATGCAGTTCAAATCCTACTGGGTGCATGTGTGTGTGCATGTTTCTCGTGCCTGAAATCCCGAGAGGAGAATGGAGGAGAAGGGATTGTGGTTTGGCCATCCCCCCGGGGGCAATCTCTCATAATTTAATAATAAAAATCCCTGATCTATGGGCTCAGGGAGCTGCCTGGTGAGCAAACACAGCTCCATGCTGAGAGACTGGTGCACCCCAGCTCCGTGGGGACAGAACCTCTGTCCGTGGGACATTCCAGACCTTGCCCTGTGTATCTCTTCATCGGGCTGTTCACCCTGTTAGTATCCTTTATAATAAACCAGGAAGCAGACGTATACCAAAAAAAAAAAAAAAGAAAGAAAGAAAATGGAAGGGGTGGAGGATTATGTGGGGTTCACCCCAGACTGGGGCAGCCTCGCAATGAAACATGACAGGCAGTAATGATGCCCCTAGTACACACACACACACATACAGACTCATACTCCAACTCTTTATTCAAAAGTATAAAAATTTACACCCTGGGAGGGGTATCCTCGGACCAACCCTAGCCTCGCAAGGACCCAGAGAGCTGCAGTCCGGGCTGTCTGTCAGAAGTCGGAGCCAAGGTGTTGTATCTTGAGGCATCTTCTCTGTAAGAGCCCCCGCCCAGGGCTGACCAGTCCCCTGGAGCAGCAAAAGGCTTGTCAGTAAGGTTACTCTCTCTGCTAAAGAGGCGGTGGTGGTGGGTGTGGACAGGACCGACCAGTGGAGCACCGGGATTCAGGTGTGGCCTGAGGACGGGTCTGCTGTAGGGTCCAGCTTCTCTTGTTCCGACAGCTGCTGGGATGAGTGAGCTCACAGTCCTGTACGCGGGGTTAGAGAGGTCTGTGGGTGCTGGGGCCTGGGGTGGACTGGGAGCGATGCAGTTGTAAGAAACGTGGGACCAGCAGATGGCATAATGGCTATGTCGCTGGACTCCCACGTAGTCGACCACGTTTCAAGCCCTGGACCCGGCAACTTAAAACTTATGCCGGGCGCATGTGCGTGCGTGCCTAAGATCCCAAGAGGAGAATGGAGGAGAAGGGATTGCGGTGTGGGGTGACTTCTCGCTTTCTCTGTCTCTCCAGAGACCCCATGTACCCTATAGCAAAAACCTCTCTTAAAAAATTTGTCTCTACTAAGCAGCTGGATCCCACGTGGCTACCTATGCAGTTCAAATCCTACTGGGTGCATGTGTGTGTGCATGTTTCTCGTGCCTGAAATCCCGAGAGGAGAATGGAGGAGAAGGGATTGTGGTTTGGCCATCCCCCCAGGGGCAATCTCTCATAATTTAATAATAAAAATCCCTGATCTATGGGCTCAGGGAGCTGCCTGGTGAGCAAACACAGCTCCATGCTGAGAGACTGGTGCACCCCAGCTCCGTGGGGACAGAACCTCTGTCCGTGGGACATTCCAGACCTTGCCCTGTGTATCTCTTCATCGGGCTGTTCACCCTGTTAGTATCCTTTATAATAAACCAGGAAGCAGACGTATAGTGTTTCCTGAGGTCTGGGAGTCACTCAACAAATGACTGAACTCAAGGAGGGGCTCCTGATATTTTTTTTTTAAGAGAGATTTTTGCTATATGGCACATGTGCTCACTGAAGAGACAGAAAGACAGGAAGCAAGAAATCACCCCTCAGGGGGATGGCCACGCCACAATCCCTCCTCCTCCATTCTCCTCTTGGGATCTTGGGCATGCACACACATGCGCCCGGCGTGAGTTTTAAATCACCAGGTCCGGGACTCAAACTGCAGTCAACTATGTGGGAGTCCAGCGATGTAGCCATTATGCCATCCGCTGGTGGGGGGGGCGGTCCTGATTAAGTGTAGGTGACAGTCATTACTCATGATTGGCATCTAAAGGGGGGGGGCAGTCTTGTAGGACTGAGCCCTTAACCTGGTGGGTTAAGGGCCCACTATCTCCAGGTAGAAAATGTCAGAACAGAGGGGCCAGTGGTAGCACCGTGGTAATGCAACTGGACCGTTATGAGAAAGGTCTTGGGATCACGTCTGGGGGCCTCTCTGAGCACACAGGCACACACGTTCCTGTGATCTGGGCTGGCCAAGAGTGCGAGTGGATTGTGGCGTGAAGACCCTATCACGGGCCAGCAGGTAGCATAGTGGCTAAGGTGCTGGACTCCTACATAGCTGACTGTGGTTCAAGTCCCGGATCTGGCGACTTGCTTTCCCACTTTCCTTCTCTCATCTCTCTGATGAGTGTGCATACTCTATAGCAAATTAAAAAATAATAACAAATAGGGGCCGGCAGGTGGCGCGGTGGTGGTTAAGGGTGCTGGACTCCCATATGGCCAACTGCGGTTCGAGTCTTGAACCTGGTGGCTTGCTTTCTCACTTTCTCTCTCTCTCTCTCTCTCTCTC